GAGGTGTGACGGTTGGTGTGCTCTCCAAAGGACTTGGTCAAGAATGAAGGAGGTTGACTCTCTCCAGGCTGCGAGGGTAAGACTACTGGATACTCCATTGGTGGCATAAAGGAGGTTTTTGGATGACCCTTACTTCAAGGTGGTAGAGTAGGCTCTTGGATGACCCTTACTCCAAGGTAGTAGAGGAGGCTCTTGGATGACCCTTACTCCAAGGTGGTAGAGGAGGCTCTTGGATGACTGTGCATGCTCCCCTGCTGATGTAACTCCTTGATCTTGATAAGGTTATCTAGGTGTAGACTCCTTTGGGCTTGACTAACTAGATCTCTTGGAATTTGGGCATTTAGCTCGGACTAGGCTTATAACATGGGTTGGGCCTTTAGGCCTGGCCCATCATTTGCCCCCCAATGCCCTGTGTCCAACAGAATTTGAAAAAGAGGACATTTAAGTTGAATTTGAATTTTCGGCTGACCAGCATAACTGAAAAAAATTTGGGAGACCAAAACGTCCGTTTATAGGCCTTTTTTGGATTTTTAACAGCATCATTCACAACCATAGGCTATGAGTATTGTAGGGCTCGCCGAGAGTTTTGATTTGATATATTATAAGTCTTATTTCAAGCAATAGAATAAAAGTTACTGCCAAAATTTCGAGCAGTGAGCTAGGCAAGCAACTTGGGCGAGCAGGCAGCTATCCAGGTGAGCAAAGCACTGTTCTGGGCGAGCAGGAATTTTTTTTTTTTTTTTTAAATTTTGGGAGGCCAAAACACCTTTTTCTGAACGTGTTTTGGACTTTTTTTGAAAAGCTCATTACTAAAAATAATGAGTTTTGCTCAGCTCGTCGAGAGTTTCGATTTAGTATATAATAAGCCCCATTTTGAGTTACGAACCAAAAGTTACGGTCAAAATAGCGAGCAGGGAGCTAAGGGCATGTTTTTGGGCGAACAATCAACTTTTGGGCGAGCAGGCCACCTCCTTGGCAAGCAAGCCACCTCTTGGGCGAGTATACAACCTCCTAGAGCAAATTTTTTTTTTTTTTTAAAACTTTGGAAGGCCAAAACACCTCTTTCTGGACGTTTTTTGAACTTTTTTTGGAAAGCTCATTACCGTTGGTAATGAGTTTTGTTCATCTTGTTGAGAGTTTCGATTTGATATATAATATGTCCCATTTTGACTTACGTAGTAAAAT